GACGGAACAGTTTTAAAAAACTATTGAAACTTTATTGTATAACCTATAATAAAATATCCACAATAAATTAAAATTTTCATTTCTTAATGAACTAGAAACAGAACTAAAAAAAGGTTCACCTATGAAAAAACTATTTTAATAAAATATTTTACTTAATCAGTAATCTTAGACCTTTTATGTTTTAAAAACCCCTTCTAAACCAACAAAATAAAAAAATATGTCAAAACTCTTAGAATATCTTTTTTTTTCAGAAAGGGCTCTGAGACTTATCAAGGTTTTAAATTTGCGTTTAAATTGTGAGACTTTGACCATATGCTAAAATTGTTCAATGTTGAATGTTTCTGGATTTTAAAACGCTCAAATTCCACATTCTAGACTAATCGGCCGATAAGTAAGTAAATCCGCCATTTTGAATTTTTAACAAGAAAAAAAGCGTTTTAAAAAAAGTTTTATTTTTTATAATATATATAACAGTCAGAAGAACTAATACAACTAAAGTCAGCAAATATCGTACCATGTTACGTTTTTAACTTTTAGAAGAATGTTTTAGCTACAATAAAAACAAAACAGTTTGATAAGATTTGATAATCTACGAAAAGTTACAAACATTTAATTTCAAGTAACTAAAACATTACGCTTGTATTACTTCTATTAATTACTATTTTTAAAATGAGGTGCCCATACCTGTAGGTATTTCTTCCATTTTAAACTAAATTAAAATATAGTTTGGAATTTTCAGGCGAAACGAAAAAAATTAGCATAAATTTACACTAACATAGCGATACACAATCTGTCAGTAAAATAAACGATTCTTGGCGCTTGCCCTGTTAGGTCATGGCCAACTTAGCAATTATATTTTCTTGGTATGAATAGCTAAGCATATATAAGGCACACTGGTCTTTGTGGGCCTATAAATTTAATTTCTGTTTTTTATTTTTGGCAAGATTTTAGGTATAATACGCTGGGTGCGCCGTGTAGATTTAAGGATAAAATAAGTTTCATGTTCGTATTTATCATGTCAAAAAACCTAAAATTGCCAATCAGTATGTCATAAATAATGGAAAAGTATTTGAAAGATGGAGACATCAACAAGACTCGCAAGAATTAAGTTTAAAAAAAGACGCATGAATACCACGCAGCAGATACCAGAAAAGCGTTGATTCTTTTTATTTGAAAGGTTAAACTAAAACCTAGCACGCTTACAACCAAAATAAGAATATTATTGTGCTGTCCAACTTACTGTTTTAATTAAATTCTGCCATTGAGTTAAATTAATTATATATTATAATTAATTAAATAAGCCATTAAATTCTGTTCAAAAATGCTTTGAAAATGTTTTCATAGACCCACAAAATTTTTCATAACAAAAAAGTTACGCCAGTTTTTTAAAAATACACATTTTCCAAACACACCCTATAACTCTCGAATGGAAACAGTGATTTTTATCACTATGGAAATTGAGTTCCAGATACTTAAAAATTGTTTTAGGCTTTCTTGTTTGGCATGGGGAGTTTTCTTTCAAAAGTGGTCAGCTTGACGTACTAGAATGGTTAGACGCAACTATAACACCTCCACAATCTGGTGAATAATCATCTTATTGGTTGAACGCTATCACTCTATTTCTAAAGAATATTAATTCGTTAATTCAGCTATATTGGAAAGTATTCAAATAATAATAAAGTATACCAAACCGCCCTAGGATTCGATCGTACGTAGTTTAACACTGAGTGAATGAGTCTTCAAGAAAAAAGTAATGCTACAATTTAATAACAGCAATTTGTAAGGGCCAAAAATTCCCACTACACAATATCATCTATTTTAAAATCTTTGCTCGATTTTGGCCTCAGAATTTTTATCTTTGATCTCCCGAAATTTATGGTTTCCACTAGCTACACGGTGGGCGCTACTATCGCGGCTTCTCCGTCGCTAACCACTTGTCAGAATTGGATGTTTATAGTTGTAGCGGCTATTTTTTTCGATAATTATGGGTGGTCGTTTCGAGAAGCTAAATATAATAATTTAATTAGGAGTGTGCTAGGTAATTATTCTTTTATAAAATAACAAAAGAGAAAAGCTCCATGGTCGTCGTCGTGTACCTTAAAAATAAATTATTGGTAAAGTGTGTGTGAAAAGAGTTCCTCTTGGTTTTTGGCGGACCCTTTCCCAAAAAGTAATGACCTTCGTACATATTGTTAGTGGGTAAATCAAACAAATAATAATTTATTCATAAGTAAGGGCCAAGACAGGAGCGGGTCAGTTAAATATCGACCACGTGTCAGCAGTGTTGAATAATCCGTTGTAGTATGCATTTCGAAACCAAGTGTTGTTGTCTGTGAGGAATATTAAAGACTCTAGCTTGGACTATCACGAAGATACAAGTGAAGAACTTTTTGAAAACTGGTATCTTTTAATTAATTTTCCGGGTAACAGTGTTATTGCAATAGATAAGGCAGCTATCACAGTACAAGAAAGGTCAACTTTGGGAAGTATTATGGCGCAGACTGCTTTACGAATTCTTCTATATCATTGTATATTCAACACATTCATGGTACCAAGTAAATAAAATGTGAGAGCAAAATATATTGTTCCTACTTTAATAAATTTAATTAAAAATTTAATTAATAATGTACCTGTTGAGAGCTGAAAAAATGTAGTGCAGTGTATTTTATAAATAAAATAACATACATAATAAGATTTTGAATAAAAACGTGCTCATTTAGGTAATTATTGATAACTTGTATATATTTAGTGTTATCGTATTTTCTGCTAGTACTAATGCGATTTTATTCTACGTAAATAAATATAATATATTTTTCATTTCTATATTTTTAAAACACCTTTAAAGTACTTCTTCACGTTCTGCGTTACAATACCGACCGGTCAGGTGGTTTAAACAATATTTATATTTCATTTTATTTTGATTAATTGCAACAGAATAATTCCAATTACAGCATAATAATGTATAAATCAAATGCTGTAGAGAAAAAACATAATCCTAAATGTAAATCTATCTACTTAAAGCAACTTGTTATCCGGCATTAATGTTTTATACAAAATGGTAAATTATATAAATATGTACACCATACACAGAAATTATTATTATGTATTCAAAAGCATAGGTAAATTAGAAATCTAACTCAATATGCGTTAACAAAATGTCTTGCTAATATTGCGTTGAACATTACATTACATTAGTTGATTTTTCACAGTAGTCAAATCTCTTTTTTTAAGTGACAACATTGCAACGATCAAACGCACGCGCAGGGGTAGTTTTTAACCTCTATTTCGAGTACGTCGTGTACTACGTCTACGTCATTTCATAGGCGGGTGGACTTTTTTTCTTGTTTCATGTAAGAACAGTCAAAGAAATCGGATGAGGTTTGCATTATCTCAAGTTTGTGTAATTTAAGTATTTATAAATAATAATTATAAATAATTAATAATTAATAATTTTAAAAAAGTTTATATTGTTACATTATAAGGCTCGCCCAAATCAAAGCGAATTAATTATTCTCACGGGCAGCGAATTTTCCGGGGCGAAAAATTTTCTCTAACTGCGATTATGCAGAGTTTTTTTCGTCGCGAATTTAGTTTCGCTATCAATAGCGTTTTTATCGCGCGATTCCCGTTTCGCAAATATAAGAAAACATCGAAAACGGAAGCTTGTTAAAAATCACCCAATGTTGTACGATTTAAAACATGATGATTGATTTGATGATTGTTTTTACAATTAAAATTAAAAAATTGTGTTATATTTCTCTTTCAAAATGTCTGTCCTAGGTTGTCTATATGGAAAGGGCCTCATTAAATATGGCTTCGCTTCAGTGCAAGAGCTTTAAAACATGAACGTAGGGTTCATTTTATCCAAGCAGATTTTTAGGCCCAGGAACATTCATTGTATTTTCTTCAAACCGCTTTCTGATGTTAGATTGCTCAAAAATTGCACTGTCGCTGCTTTTACCAAATCCACCGATATCTACACATAAAAATCAGGTCTCCCAATAGCCATCAATACCATTGAAAATTTGTGTAAATAGCACCAGTTTTATCCGGACATTTTAGTTCCGATGTTGGTTCGGGTAAATACAAATTTTCTAATTTTGTACAAATAGCTTCACAAACTTCTGTCAGCATTGCACTTACTGTTGAAAGTCCTACTCTAAAACTGTGACCTATTGTGCAGAAAGTATCACCAGTGGCAAGAAATCCGTAAACGAAATTATTTTGTTTTAGGTGACGATGTTTAAAAAAATGGAAAACCTAAACCTGAATTAGAACCCGTTTCAGAAAATTTTGACACTAAAATAGCTAGTTCCGAAAATGCAGATAGAGTTCCGACTGAAAATGACACGGAACATCAAAAAAGAAACAAACAAGTTTTAAATGTCACTCATCCATCTAAATTAATAACGCTAACAAAAATCACTCCAACTAGTTCTTCAACTGCAAATAATAAAACCAGCAGAAAGCGTAATAACTCTACACCGGTGTCTTCTGTAGAAGATAATGTAAAATATTTTGAAAATGAAAAAATATGACTTGGCTCACGCAAAGACCATAAAAACATTTTCCGGAGAGAGCGAGATGATAACTAAGTTGAAAATTGCTCAAGTCATCATGGAGCAGGAACTTTGCATCATGAGAAACTCAACACAAATGTGATGCCAACACCTGAAAGTGGAATAGTTCTCTTTACAGCACTTTATCTGCATTTTTACATGATGAAAACTGTAATGCTGCACCAGTGCCGAGACCTGAAAGTGGATTTTCTTCATCTGGATTTTCAAAGGACGATAACACTTACTTCATTGACAAATGTGTCTCAGCAGTCTCAAGGAATCGCCAACTTTGTTACTTCTTTTAATCTACTCAGTGACAATAACATGTATTAATAATAATGCAATACTTTTTTCAAAACTTCTGGATTCCTCCTGCGTCGGTTTGTGTTGAGTCGAAATTGCTGGCAATCATCCTGTTGGCTGTTGGCTCGCCAGTTTCAGTCAAGCTCTGAAGAAGCCAACAGGATGATTCGCGAAATGTGAGCAATTTCGACTCAACAAAAGCCGACGCAGGAGGAATCCAGAAGTTTTGTAAAAAGTATTACAGTAGCCTGTGGAAGTTTCTTTGAATAATGCAATGTAATGGCATGTCGGTATTCGAAATAGCTTCACGATAATTTGTATCAAATTTTCGAATGTCATTTGTGAAAACACTCACTAGTCGTTCTGAAATATATATAAAATCGTTTTTCAATTAATGACTGAAATTCTCCATACTTGTTTCGTTCCAAGTTAATACCTTAAAATCAAAAATCAGCACCAATCATTTACTAATAAATGAATACTGTGTAGAAAAAAATATACCTACTTCAGCTTCTAAGGCAAGTAACAAAAGTACCTCTTCTTCATCAGTTGATTGTCTTCCGGTTGAAAATAATTATATAAATAAATATAATTAAAAAAAAAGGAAATTCCGTACGATTTATTCGCTGTGGTGCGAAATACTAGGCGATTTCTCTGCCGCTGTCGACGCAGAATTTTCGTTATCCCTGCGAATAATTGGCGTTGGTTTGGGGGGTACCTATAATAATGTCAGGCGCCAATGATTCATTGCCCCTCTCGGGATTATTTTCCCCACCTTACGTGGTTACCATAGCAACCATTCATATTTAGGCAACACTCCACAACCCATTCGACCCTTGTTTAGATGCCTATATTTGCATCATAACAGCAACAGCAATTTTACGAATGACTTATGCGGTCTCCTTTAGTTGGACGTCTGTGGTCACAACCCCCGTCAAAAGACGGCTTAATACCTTCACAATTCCGACATCGGGGCTCTATAACGTAATCTCGCATTCCCACGACGAGCGCGTGAGAATAGTAAATCACGTAAAGCCGTACCGTCTCGGTACAGCAGAGTGTGCAAGAGATTGGTGGACCGTTGCGAACCCACAAATCGACGACACACTGCCTCGAAATCGCACGCTTCACTACGGACTCGCAATTATCCCACCTGTCCCGGTTCTTTGTTTATAACGATCATCGGGACGATTCGGCGGTCGCGTTTTAATGGTTCATTCAAATCGATGAGTTATGAAGTGCCGTCTCGACCGCAATCCATACAACGATTTTCGAACGAGCAGAGGATGTGGCGACAATGTCCTTGCAAGGTTCCGAGTCGGACGCCGCCGCGGGACAACTCGTCTGAAACGTTATTTCGCTTCGTCAGCTTGCCGATTGTGCAATAATTTATTAATCATAATTTTAACGATTCGGTGGTATTCGTTCTTCGTTGGTTTCCTTTCCGGCCAACCGAGCGCGTTAAACACTTTGTTGGTCGTTTTAGTTTCCACGTTCTCCGTTTGGTTACGGTTTCGTTAGCCTTTTTTCGAATTTGATCTTCAATGAATCAAATTCAAACACAAAAAAGATGAACGTTTTTGCGAATATAAGTTACATAGTTACCCTATGACAATGAAAATTTTATTTTGAAAATGTATAATGTATACATATATGTTTTTTTAATGAATAATAATTCACTATTTTGGTCAGCTAGCTGACCAGGTTCGTATTATTAAATATTATTAAAAATAGTAAAACAAACTTAATATTACTTAACCCATTTTGTCCCACTGGTGCGTTAGTGCACCACCTATTCTATGATTTTTTTTGTCACATCCCGGGAATATTTTTGCACATCCATTTAGAAATTTTATTATTATCACTACTAAAGGACATAAAACCATAGAAAGCGCTAAGTTATGTGTAAAGGAAAGATCTTATATATTACTTCAAAAGTTAACAAAAACGATACATAAATTTGTATCACATTTTCTAATAAATATTAGAAATATTAGAAATATTTTGCATTTGCATTGCCATTTTTGTTAAGTTGTAAAATATGCATTGTAAATACTATATTGATTATGCTTTATTTTTTGAAAATATTTACTGATTGCGTGAATGCACCACTGGTTTTATTTGTGAAATAAAACTTTGTTATTGCAAATCTAGACAAGTCAGCGCATGTAGAGTAAAGATCCAACAATTAGCGTGTTCTTTAGTATTAGTTTGTGCCTTGTGCAGTGAACGTTACAGTTCGTAAAATATAATATTTCCGATGTATTTGACTCAAAAGGAATTAGAGGCGGCTATGGAAGAGATCGTGATAGATGAGGCCAATATGTATGCTTAAGTATTGTAGCATTCCATTTTTTGTAAATTTATGCTAAAAATAACATGAAAAAATATTTACAGAACACATTGACGCGGTGTATATTCCACCCGACGTGGATACCTTGGCTGATGAAGAAGATATGAACGATAACATAAATCTACAAGAGTTTGAGGAACCAACTGATATAGTTGTAACTTTCGAGTTACATACACCGAACGATACATCTGTCATTCAACAGTCCTGTAATTCATCAACTACTGACCCTGAATGATCAAACTCTGGACTTGAAAAGAAGACGTCAAATGGAAGAAAGGTCAGATTGAGTACACTCACACATCTATATCCGATAAATTTAGTGAGGAACTAAAAAATAGGCTTTCTGGAAAAACTCCGCTTGAAATATTTTTTATGTTTTTTGATAAAGAAGTGACTGATTTAATTTTAAATCTTATATTGCTTTGCGACTTTTAAAAACTGATAAAACAATTACTCAAAGAAATCTTGCACCTGTCATAGATGAAGTGCGTTATGATAATCAAGGTCACCTCATGATTGTCACAGCCATACAATTTACGTTTGTAATAAGTGTAATGTGCATTTACATACTTCATATATTGTAAAATATCATCAAAATTGAAACCGGGTGTTAGCAGTGGTGCGCTCAGACACCATAAAATATTATTCGTTTTTTTGTATCAAATCAAGTTCTATTTGGAAAATAATCAATTTTTATTTGTTTTCTGTCGAATTTGAACTTTCTTTTGTATATTTATGTATGAATTTTTTGTTACATCTTATGTGCCCCAAAACATTATTTTTCGCAGTGGTTTGTTTACGCACCAGTATTTTTTGATATGTTTCGTGTTTTTATTTTTTTTATACATGTAATGTATTCGTATGTGCAACAAAATAATTAATTTCAGAACAAAAAGTATTTTTTAATTTTTTTTAATGCTTGGGATAATATGGGTTAATATCACCAGACAACTCAGATAAAAGATATATCTTGTTGTGTCATAAAATCTGGGGCCAAGTTTATGTTGGTACTAAGGACAGATCACACATAGTACCTATTTCAATAGTGCTGCAATGGTGCAATGGATACAGGCAGAGATACACGAAGTATCCTGTCGCAAATAATCACACGGGCACTGAAGGGCGGCAACCCGCGACAGTGCAACAAATAAATCGGGACATATTATACTGAAGGACGGAGACGATACGCGACAGTAGCCGACTTTCAACCAACAAACGTTGAAAATAATTCACTAATATTTAACTAAATTCCTTGGATATATTTTAAAAATTAAAAATGAAACCGATCAATAAATCATTTTGTACTTTGGTATTTTGGCCAATAAAACGAAACCATCGTGAAATTCAACCACCGTACTCGTGAGAACATTTTACGTCTACGCAATTTCACGTAATGCAAATAATAGCCCACAACACTCGAACCAAGAAATGCGGCAAAGATATTTCTTAAAATCTTACTGCACCCCAAGACTATGTTTATCATAAATGACGCCCTTCTACTGATCGATATGTTGACAGAGCGAGGGGCGAAAAATGCGCTTTTAAGAAAAACATCTGCCTCGCAAGTGGTTGCTTATTGCGTTGTATATACAAAAAGTTCTGGGGGTAGATTATAAAATATATGCGTCTTACATGAAAAAATAATTGTCGCAAGTCAAACATTTACAAATATTTACAAAAACGGGTATCAAACAACAAAAATACCAAAAATACAAACAATTGAATAACAAAAACTAACTAATCTTGCGGTGTCTTGTCTTTAAATTCAACAATAGAGTATAAGCTGTGAACGTACTACTCAACTTTCTTTTTAAAATATGACAAATCTTGTGTTGAAGATTATAGAAGTCAATATGAACATTAATTTCGATGCACATGCTATGATAATTATGATTATCGAAATTTTTAGGGGTATACGTACGATTTTTATAGATATAAGCTGTTGTTACAACCAAGTACAGGGCAATAACATAATGCGTAATCTTATAAACCATAGCTGACAATATTTAAGATGTCCAATTCTAGAGTTACCTCACTGTATTGCTCTTAGATGAGATGGCAATAGAACATGATATACTATAATTAAGTACTTACCACCATTCAAGTTTCTTACACGCCGCAGAATAAACAGTCCAGTATGAAATTTTACTTTCAATCCACCAAGATGCTCCGACCAATTTTATCTGTCATCGATGATCATACGAAGTAGTTTGGCTGAACTACCCTTCGTAATAGCTTTATTTTGTTTAGTTTCTTTCATAAATTGATATATATATATATATATATATATATATATATATATATATATATATATATATATATATATATATATATATATATATATATATATATATATATATATATATATATATATATATATATATATATATATATATGACGAACAGTAATGGCCCCAGAACTAATCATTGTGGCACTCCACTTACGGTTGTCCTTGGCACTCAACCCACTGTTTTCTACATGATAAATACGACTTCAATAAGCTTCTAATCTGTATCACAAATTCCATACCTTTTCATTTTGGCAGTTAAAAGCTCATGGAGACACACAACCTTGCTTGTAATTTTTAACCAATCAAAACCTTATTTTTTTGACACATCACCATAAACGGATGAATTTTAGTGGAAATTTTTTCCTCGTGAGTATCCAACAGCGAATTAAACTGCAATGTTCTATGGCAACATGCTTTGCTATGAAAAAAAATATGGAAATTGCTTTGGATTTTTCTTACCGAATACCACAAAAGGTCAAATTAAATCCGGAAATAATTTGCCCTCCAGTGGTATTACTAGTGAAAATACTACAAGTCTTTTTTTAACAAAATTTCAAATATCTTTCCAAATAATGGTATTAATTAATTAATTAATTTAAAGTATTATCTCTTTAAAAAGATGATCTATGGTGTTAGAAAGAAAAACAATATAACTAATGATTTTTTTCAACGATCTAATAGTAACATGAAAAGCACAACACGTAGCATACTTTTAAACTGAGAATATAACTGTTCCGTTAGCAAATTTGAGAAATATTTGACTTGCTCCATAAATATTTGGGCAGAATATGTCGGGTGGATATTTTTTTCTGAAACAGAGGAAAATATATGCAAATATTTTCTGTTTCGGCATTGATAATGGTGTAGAAATTTATATTGGCAGTCGTAATTATTAGTATATCTTTAATAATAGCTCCGAAAAAGTCCATTATTAGAAGTATTTCTTTGCTAAAATCCTATTTTTTTTGTCTAGAAAGCATGTCTATTTAATTTTCCCAGACGTTTTTAGATGCTGTATGGAAATTTAAAGGTTTACGATGAAGTGATGTATGCTTAATTTGATTTATAATTCGATTATAATTTTTTTATTTGTGATAGTTAAGTAAAATAAATTAAATAAACCGTGAAATATAAATACGTTTATTAAATTCCCACTCTCGCCAAAAATCTGACTGATGTGAATCGCATTATGGATATTTCGAAAACAAGAGTCACACGAATTAGTAAGGTACCTAAAAAATAAGTTAGAGTTAAAGAGTTAAATGGCGAGCATTTATCTCTAACTAAGTTGTGCCTAAATTATCTGGTTCTAATGTTGGATTGCCCATTGATCGACAAGTAAGCTTCGATTTTGAGTTTGATATCGAAACTGAATCTTCGAAGTGCGATCCATAGATTTTATTTAATCAAGGCTGTTACGTAGCGTCTGCTTATATCTCGATATATTTTAACGGGATTATTTTATATTTCTCGGTAAAAGATTATAATCATAGGGAACCATAACGGTAATTATAAAGTATTAAACAGAAACTAACTCCCCGGCCAGCAC